GAACACCACTGGCCTCAGCGATCTCAAAAACTCCAGAGCTGAGGGCGACAGTGACAAAGAACATCTGTAGATAATTTTTGGTTATATTCATTTTTGCTCTGCTGTAGAGTAGAGCTTGCCTCAGAAATTTCTTATCCGTTCACTTGCGTTTTAAAATTAAATACTTTCTTCGAATCATCCCACACCAGTCCCATCCCCTCGCTCTCACCCGTCCGAGGACCACTTGTATCCGGGTGCACCGGGCTCAGCACAGCGGGAGTAGACATCCACGCGGTTAGCCACCATGAAGGCAGAATAGAATCCAACCCCGAACTGACCAATGATGGTGCTGCTGGCCTCTGCCTTGTTCTGCAGAGCATCCAAAAATGCCTGCAGAATGTGGAAAAGATGATCATTACGACAGAATGAGTGATCAATAGTATACATTACAAATGCAAGTGTGACCACATAGTAATATGAATAGGAAAGGCAGTGAAGGAATAAGAACTGTGACACACAGAGGCAAATTAAAGATCCAAGACAAACAGTAACCTTTGAGCCAGAGCGGGCGATAGTCCCCAGGTTGGCCACGAGCTCCTCTTGGTTCATCCCCACACCAGTGTCCTGTGACAGAACAGAGAACCTCAGTCCTTCACAAAGAAACCATGATAAGGTTGCTGTTAAATATTCATCCACCAGGTGGCAGCTGGCCAACTCTACAGGACAACACAACATGATTTTTCCTTGTGTTTCTATGGTATTTCCACTCCAGTGTATATCAGGAATGTTTTAGATATATTTCATTTGAAAGACTACTGTGGGACCATCTATGGCATTTTAATGCACTGTTTAGCAGGTGAGCATAAGAAAGCTCCTGTGGGACAAATAATGCTACAGAGCACATATGTATCTAGCAGCAAGAAGCCCACACATAAAACTACTGAAAGTGGATGTGCAAACTAAAGGAAATACGTTCATAGATAAGTAAAATGCTAATAAAGGGAAATAAGTTAATGTAAAGCAGATTTTAAAAAATAGTAAAATACATATAATGAATGCAAGCGATAAAAGTGCAAAATATATGTAAATGCATATACATACACAAACTAAAATGACAACATCAAATAAAAGCACAAAATTGCTGACAAAATTTAACTGGCTTAAAGCACCATAAATTTATATTAAAAATGTCTCTGTCCAAATACTACCGAGTGCCTGGACATCGTTGTTTGTCCAACAAACTCTCCCTTATCACGTGTTTAAATAGTGGTTGTCTGGTTGATACAGATGCAGTAGTACAGTGGTGGTTACGGTTTGTTACTGCCATTCTTGTTTGAATATGCCAACAAATCAGCTGAACCAGTCACAATAAAAAGCAGCTGAGAGCACCTGGAACTGTGGAAACAACAGTGAAACCTGTGACAAGGGTCAATATTACATTTTTTTCCTGCAGTGGAATGTATGTTCAACCAAAAAAAAAACAACATGGCCCAGGAAGATCAACACACAGCACTTCTCCAAATCTATGCGACCTGCACATCTTCCACAGATGAGGGTGTACCTGGATGGTGAAGGTGCCCTTGGCAGCGTCCGTCTGCAGGTGGATCTCCATGGGAGCCATTTCACCTCCTGCTGAGATCAGTTTGTGACGCAGTTTTTCCAGGGCGTCGCTGCCATTGGAGATCAGCTCTCTGATGAACACCTAGTGGGATGAGGAAGAAGCAGGGAACTGGTCAAAGATGGGGTTCTCACCTTCAATGTGAAGCAGTAAAGGACACCCCCACTGCTAATAACTACAGTATAATACATGAAATATAAACACCACTATATTTTTAAAAAAACTGTTATAGCGCAATTATTTACACAATTTTATTTGATTCTGTGAAGAAAACCTGCAACAGAACAATCTTTTCATGAAGTACAGTCTCAAAAGGACGCACAAGTATCAAAAGCTGAACATTAATAAAGCAGCTCATATTTACTTGTGTTCAAAATTTGCTGTATTCGTTTTCTTTTTTTTCCAATTTACACCTTTGCATTAAGCTATAGAAAATTTAAAATGCACAGTACAGCAGTAAATACAGGACCACATCTTTTTTATACCTTCACTGGATCCTTCTGAAACAAAAACCTCTGTCCGAGCTAACAAAGACTGGGAAATTCAGTTGGCGTATATTAGAATCTCTGATGAAACCATTCTGCTACTCTGCTCCTCCCCTCTGTCGCTCAACCGCGATTTTAGATTTTAGCTGCTTTTCTCTGAGCTGTTCATGCCGCAGTTTTAAGGTTCCTTTAAACATATTCATGCAACACAAGTCAGTGATAGTCCACTGCTGCTGCTTCAATGTTTAATGATGACAAAGATGCTATTGCATAAACAGTAAGTGGGTGGGTGGAGTCATGGGACCAAACTAACTGTAGTTAGTGGGAGGAAGACAGTTGATGAAGATGATGCCACGCCAAGTGGGCCGTGTAACCCTCTGACCTTTCAGCTATTCAAACCTGGTTTGGTGTTACTAAATATTTGTGGTGTTTTCTCCACTATCTTTATTAAATTTATACATTAATTAAATGTGCCCAAAGACACAGGACAAATCAAGTTCCATACTGTGACAGAGCATTTTATTTATCAAAACAAGACGACTGCATAAGAGGCAGATGGAAACTCTACTCAGAGAAGAACAATTACAGTTAATAAACTGAAATGTCAGTCCATACAAACCATCTGACCTCTTTCTCCGAGTACAGGGAGCTGGCAACGATATCCAGCAGCTTTTTTGTTTCAGCCTGAAATTCATGTTTGGAGAAGCTACCTGGACAAACCAAAGTAACATTTAGATTAGTTTAAATCTGAGAAGTGACACATGTACCATAACATTCAAGCAGAATTATGCCTGCAGCTGTTCCAGCACCTTGCACAGACTCTGTGTCACTGATAATGGTATGCAGGGGCTCCTCCTCAGGCTCTTTCTCAGCCTCCTGGGTGCTGTAATAAGACTGTTGGATGAAGCTGAGGCAGGACCGCTGAGATCCCCATACTCTGGGCTGGCTGCCCCACTGGTGCAGCTGTCTAACCGGAGAGTCTGGTAACAAGAGGAATAAGATGGTTGTCCGCATTACATGATAGCTCTGGCACTGCATTTTTCTATTTTGTAGTGTGTTTCAGAGGACTTACTAACAGCTATAAGCTCATATTAGCTTCAGCTGAACATAAGTCATGTTAGAAAACAGACTCCACACAGGCAGTAAGGATATAAAAACAATTACAACAACCAATACCTCTACATACAGTACATAGTGATTTGCTTAAACGTGCTGCAGGAACATGGTGGTCTGTGTGAATTTGCATGGTTTCTACTGTGTTTACAAAGTTAAATGTAAGGCTTTAAGGCATTTTATTACAACATACACTGCAATTTAAAAGCTATGGCATGATCACACCAACCAAGTTTTGAAAGATATCACTGAAAACTATAAGGAGTTACAGGGCCTAGAGTTAATTACAAAGTGCACGCTTATTGACATTTGCATTAAATGTTCATCAGTATCTCTTAGTGGTGTAAAACACAACCCAAACCAGGATATTTAGCAGTTTATGGCTCAATCAAAACCAAACATATCTAAATGAGCCAAGGTTCACATTCTAATATTACATTAGGTCTGTGATTTTCCAGTTTTAAGTGTTTGCTAAAGTCATATACAAAAAGCATTTTGAAGCTACACTTTTTTTTTTTTTTTTTTTTTGAGAAAACAAATGCTTTAAATGACTTTAAATGCCTTTAAATGCAGATACCCTGGAGTGCCATCAATGAGCCTAAAGGTTCGAAAAGGTTATGTAAAGGGCAAACACAGCAGTTCTACAAAAACCTTTCTTTGGTTATGAAATCTAAACCCATCTATGATTTGGGGACAGTAAAACAAAAAATAAATAAACTTGACACCAACATTAAGTTCGGTGTAATACATTGGGGTAATAGCATCTTTTAAGCAACCCGTAGATTTTAAATCATATTTAACTGTCACGTCGTTTTTGTGTTGAGACAGTTGTTGTTGAGACAGAAGGGACTAACAGTCCAGCTAAAAATATTAAACTGCAGTTTAGCAAATGAAGTATTTAGCTGCAGCAGAGCATAATGCTTCATGGCTGATCTTGTGGCTGTCAGCTAGCCGGGTAGGCTAACAAACGCTGCTTACCTCCATTCAAAGAGCACGAAACAGCTCGGCCGCTCAGCCCTCGTGCACATGACATTAGCCGTGAGTTGGCCCTCTGCGAGACACCGAGTGTGAACCGGGCCAGAGCGAGACAGCGCGACATGATGGCAAGCAAGGGGGAAAGACAAGAAACGCACAAGTCAACTGGACATAGGACACACACTGAAAACACCTACAGGCCCCAAATCTGCGCCTTATAATGACGTCACATAGTGCTCATCACTCTGCCTGACGGAAAGTGGAAAATGATCACTGATTGCGAATCCTCTCCTGTACTTTAATTTTGATGATATATTAATATTCTAACAATTCTACCTTAATCTGTTTACTTACTGGTCCCCTTTATTATCAAGTGTATTCATTTTAGTTTTATTTGCCCTTCAAGGTCAAACGGGGGTCAGTTAGAGTAACATCAACAAACTTAAATTATTGAGCTTCACTTCTTGTTAGTGCTAACTACAGCAAAACAATTCTCGACTAATCTGCAACTTTATATCAATTATTAATAGAATAATAAAGTTTCAAGCAAAAATGCCAAACATTTGAAATTAACAGAATCTCGAATATACAAACTGTTGGACCAAAAGAAGCAATCAACGACATTTTCCTTTGTTTGTTTTTAATAGACCAAATGATAACTCAAAAATAATAAGATTAATCAATAATGAAAATAATCTGTAGTTAAAGCCCGGAGGCTGACGACAACAATGTTCTCCAAACAGAAAATAACTAGAAGCAGTCTGTGGCACACAGGTTTATTTAACAATATGGTATATAAGTACGAAATGAGCCATTTGAACCAGTTTGTACAGTGATTTCATTATTTTCTGTATATTTACAGTACTGTCGAGCTGCTAGATTTACATTAGAGAGCAGTTCATCATCAATTCAAGTTTAATTCAAGAGAGAAAATGATGCACAAAACTCTCTCTAAACACAAATCAGCAGTCAAACAAGTTAATTTCCCACCACAGGTAAAAGAGGTTCAGGACCTTTAATGAGAATTTCTGTAGACTGAAGGAGAGACAAAGCAATTTTTAATTTGCAAGACAAATACAGGGCCCAGGCCAGTAAAAAGAACATTCTGGCACCTGTGAACTCTAACAAGCTTCAAGGCAGGTTTCTTTTACACCTGCATGTTGTGTTTGGATGTGTGCAATAGTTACTAGATCTATACAAATACATTAATCTCCCATAGACTCTGCAAACAGGAAAGAAATTAAGGCTTTCCCAAAGGCAGTCCTTTTGAAAAATGTATATTAGAATAAATTAGCCAGTAACAAAGAAACTGAGCAAGAGGTGAAACCTGGCAAAAAAGACAAACATTTTTACAGAAATAATTTTACAGTCTTCTCAACATAAATGATATTAATTTGCAAAGATACAAAATAAAAAAGAATAAAATGATATTTTTTTGTTTTGAGAAGTTTTGTTAAAAAAGGAGTCAATACCAGAGCATAACAAATGAAAAACATTAAACCAACACAAAGACCAGAGCAAATTCTTGCATGGCCGGTCTGAACAAAAATATATTCTTTGTCTCTGTTGTCTTCTTTTCAACAGCAATTATTAAATCACTCTGTGTGCTGGAAGAAAAAGCAGTCCCTTGGTTTAGCAAAGTTCACAGTCTGTAGGCCTCACATGACTCATCTGTTTGAATTTCTTTTAGCCTAGCTTTTTACATCAGCAAGTACAAAAAATCTCTGCTGACAACAGAAGGCCTTTCTTCTGTCACAAAATGCTACAATCTTTCAACAAATTTTTCCAGCGTGTCTCTGTCAATCGTATCACCCATCATACCCATGTCATTACTTAACGCCCCTCGATTCGGTGTGTTAAGTTGGGGGAGCATGGCACTCTGCTCTGGTGTGCCTGTGTGTCCCTGCTCCATGGAGCCTGACATGGGTCCTCCAAGGTTGGGATGAGGAGAGCTGGAGTGGAGGGCACCATGCTGGGGTGAGGGCTGGGGCTGTATCCGTGGGGAGGGACTGGAATGCGGGGGCTGCTGTGAAGGTGGACGGGGCGATTGCACTGGGGCTGGAGAGCGTACTTGGTTTCCCAGGGTGTTAGCCATTGTCTGGCCAGGTAAGTGAGCTCCTCCCTGGGGTTGGCCTTGGAGCATGTGGGGTTGTGGACTCATCGAGTTAGCCTGTGCTGGAGAGCCCAGCTGCTGCTTCAACATGTGCTGCTGCTGTTGCTGCTGCTGCTGAAGTATGCGCTGCTGGAGAAGGTTCTGGGACCCATCCATGCCCATGCCAGGTTGGCTCATTTGGGGAGTGGGAGGAAGCTGGCCCATTGGCCCCCCACCTCCTTGTATAGCCATTTGCTGCTGCATACGAAGTTGGGAGTAGCTTGCTGGCCCCGGCTGCTGCTGCGGGAACTGACCATGGCCCTGAGGCATGCCTCCTTGCTGCTGCTGCATTTGCTGCATCCTGAGCAGCTGTTGTCTGCGATATAGCTGAGGATTGCCATTTTGAGCAGTATTCATCATTTGGCCTTGGGGGCCCATAGGTGCCATGCCCTGGGGTCCTGCCTGCTGAGGAGGCTGCTGCTGAGTCACCATCCCTGGTCTCTGCACCTGGTTTGCCA